AGGGTCATTGCTATAAGCTTTACGAATATTTACCTGGCCTCGGTGCTCTACACAATTACAAATCTTGGTCTATAAACTTAGGATTGATCCGTGATGCAATCGTAAAAGACCCTCCACACCGCCGTGTTCACTAATTCGTTTCAGGGGTATCCGACAATATCTGATATGGATTTATGAATGCAACAATTTCATTTCTAAATTTTCACCATTGAATTTGTAAGAATTTCCCTGTCAAGCCCGACTTAAAAGGGCGTGACATACGAGTACTTTGATGAGGGACATCCAATCCACCCTCTCTGAGAAGACAACATCGGTCGTGTCAGATGCGCCTATGTTTCTTTTTTTAAAAGGAAAATGGTTCGACGTTATGAAGAAAAACATCAGCAGTATGACTTCATTCAAATGGTGTACTGAATTTGTTAGGAAAAATGCGGAAGGGATAAGGTCTGTCAACGCTAATGTTAACGGCGTATGTGCCGTCTCAGTAAATATGGCGTTGTCAATGTTTATTTTGGAAAAACATTTTTTTGTTGTTGTTTCCGTCATAATATTTTCAGACAGAAATGAGCGCACTGCTAACTCCCATATAGCTTTGACGTCAATGCTATTTGTCAAAATACCGTGGGCTCACACAGGTGTTCATGTAAAGCTGGTTATACAGGAAATGGAAAACAACGTCGCGGTAAGAACGGTTTCAAAGAAATACAGAAACATGCATTTTGAAACCCACACCATTGTTTTTCAGTAGTGTGGGCTCAAACTTACCCAGTTCCCATCCTACCGAAGTGCTTGTGACGATAGTGAACACTATTCAGACAAGCCTACGAGTAAGTTCTCCACTCTAAATTGGGGGCGAAGAGGGCTCCGCAAGAACGCAAGGGCGAGCGGCTATGGGCAGCAGAAAGGAGGGAAATGTGGAATTGTGTCGCTATTTTTGTTGTTGTTGTCTTGTGCCCCCCCTCCCCCCTTTTTCTTGGCTCCGCTGCGCTGTTTCTTCTCTAGCAGAGCGCTTTTTATGTTAGGTGACCGATCATGACCAACTGCAAAGGCGGGCTCATTGAACCAACAAACTGTTATGCAAGTCCAGCTCTAGTGCTTTCTCTCTGACGCACTGCACAACAACAACAACAACTTTATTTGTACCCCCAGTTGATTTACATGATACCAAAAATAGCTAAAATATGGAGAGACTACAGGTTGCCCACAATAACCATTGAGGGCTAAAAAGGTAAGGCAGCCTTACTTAGGTTATTAATAAATGATTATATTAAAGGGTCAGGAACCATCGTCGGACACGTCCGCCATCTTTCCTGACCGCTGACCTCTCCCTTGTAAGAGCAAAAACTCATTCTCTCTTGGTACGATGGCATCCAGAGGAAAACTTTAAGTCAGGGAAATCAGCATGTCAACACTGCCAAAGCTTTCCGTGAGCAACTCGAGTTTTGTTTGGTTTTAACTTGGTTTTTTATTAAACCCATAGTACCGACACGTATATACTCGACTGCACTGTCAACGTAAAACATTGTGAAATTTATTATGAACGCCTAAACGACGATATATTTAAAGAGTGTCTAAGAGTACAAATATCCGTTAGTAGTGAATTGTATATCTGCAAAACAGAGGTTTTTGGTAACAAGCTCATTTCAATTCTTTTGGGGGGAGGTGAAAACAAGATCTCTAATTCAATTTACAAAAGGGACCGAGAAAACAAGGATCATAAAATGTCAATTATTGGCCTTTCATTTCTTTGTAGAACTTGAAATTAAAGCCATTATAGCATACAACTCGTTCGACCACATACCATGACGATGAGTAACTTATAATTAGTTAATTCAGTTTAAGGTTAATTCATTCATTCATTTACTTCTTTCTCAAAAACTCAATATGGCAAGCGCTTTCACATTCAATATTTTTCAAAACTGCATCAACCACAAACATAGTCTTTTGTTAGATTCGCCATAATATTAATCTGAAAATGTCAAACAAATTAAACATGAGATGATCCACCTACTTGCGGCTTAGCTGAACTGTTTCAGAGCCCGCCTACCTTTTTTGATATTTTCTGAAGTACTAAATTAGAACTTATAGTTATATTTGAACAAGGACCCGTTTGCAAGAGTGAACTGAAAGCTTGCTAAGTAGTATTTTGGTTCAGGTTTCAAATAACATTTTCAAGAATCGTCAGTCACGATTAGTTTGAAAAGAGAAAGGGAAATAACCTGCAAAAAAGTTGCGCTATCAAAACCCTTACAAACAGTAAAGTCACCAACTGCGTAAAAGGAGGCGAGTTTTGGCCACATCCTTTATAGGAAGAGAGATCCTTTATGGTGCATGCTGCCTAAAAACACCAGGTAAGTGATATCCAAAAATCACTAAGGTAGACTATGTATTCAAATATTCCGCTACCCTCTGAGAATATTTTTCATGAATTAGACTATTTACGCTTGTATACCAAGTTTGAGAGTAAACCAAACTGTTGAATGACAACAACTATCAATTTGGTTTTCCAAATCGCGGAGCCCAAAATGTTTACGCTGAGTATATCCACCGAAACCCTCCAGTTAAGAACAAAAGCGGTTATAAAAGAGCCATGATGAGATTTATGTGACGAAAATTTCCAAAATATATAAACATAATTATATTTCTTTGAAATGGCTAATTCATAAGGTAAAGATGGACATGTGTCGTATCCAGCTATAAAGAACTTGAACGTTTTAATTTGAACTTTTTTTTAACAACGCTAAAATTCTTAAATGTTAATATCTTTAAAATAATGACATGAAAGCCTCTAGCTCAACTTGATTTTCTTTCTCTCCTTATTTTTTTTTTCTTAAACCCTTTTCCACTTGTTCTTTTGCTTAACTTTTTACGACTGCGAAACGATGCAACAAACGAAAGGGAAAATTAAATCTTTTAGTGCAGAAGCATTAATGACTCGCAGAAGTAAATTTTAGAGAAAGGGTTTTGAATAATTGATGCTGCGTGCATTAACAAGCAAAACAACGCTAAACTAAAAACAGAAAGACGTGAAGAAGTTTTACATACAATAATTAAGTGGCCACGAAAATTTTTCCGAAGGGTGAGATCGATGCTGCAAGAATTCGTAAGTGGCAGAAATCCAGTTTGTAAAATCAATTCCGTGGTCAGTTCATAAAATCAATCTTTAAGGCCATGTGGGACGCTTGCTTTGATACATTACCTTGCTAGAAAATTCTGCTGATAAGAAATAGTATAGTACGGTATGTAGTGCAAAGAATCTGAAATGACTGACGAGCGAGCACAAAGGTTAGAAACTAATACGAAATTGATACAAAGAACCGTGTGGAATTCCTACTAAAAAACTGATTCATTTGTATTGGTTGAGGTCACACTAGAGCCTTTACTATGGTAAAAAGGGCTTTACTATGGTAAGTCTCGTAACATCTTTTTTACCGTAGTAAACCTGACAGGTCCACTTAAAAAGGCATTTGAAACTTTCCAGGCGTTTTTTCTCGCGTGATCGGTAACGTGAGAGTGAAAAGTAAAACAAATGATGACATGCTATGAGAGCTGACTAAATTGAAATTACTGAACTGTAACTTCCTGAGCGTGACCGTCACAAGTGTATAAAGATGGTTCAATGTGAGAGAGTATTGTTTTCTGTTGTGAGCATTTTGCTTTTAATTCTACTGCTCAGACGAGCAAGAAGAATGCGCTCCCTTATTACCTACATTGGTTTCGAATACGAAGTTAGTGAAGATGTTTTAGTGACAGGTTCATTGATTACCCGTCGAAGACGTACTCTTAGAGAAAGAGCGGCATTTCGAAGGCAAGCGTGGGTTTACCCTCGACCCTAAGAATAAACTTATGGTAAACTTGAGTTTACTATAGTAAACTTTCTCTAGTGTGACCTCAACCATTGTCTTCACCTTGGATTTCAGCTGATTTCGTTCACACCGACTCCAAACGTTAGAACTGCATATTAAAGTAAATTAAGGACCAAGTGAAAGTATTGTCGGAAGAGGCTTCATAAATTTGTCTAATCTTGAAAACCAGGAAATAAGGACGAAGTTAGCAGTAATGGTCAAACAAGCTTGCATAACTGAAATAAAACGAATCGCATAAATCTGTGATCATGTCTTCCTTTGGACCAAAAGCGCAAAAATCATCATCAAAGGGAAAATGGCTACTGACAATACTCGTTACATTTGTTGAAACACTTGTCACGTTAAGCCCTCCCCAATGTCGATTCATTTATCACTCATTTGCAAATAAACGCCAGTCACAAAGCATTGGGAAAGGAGAGAACAAGTACAAACGGAAAAAAAGTTGGGTAAGTTGGTTGAGAAAGCGTGACATGAAAAAGACCCCAGTTTCAGTCTAGTGTGCAACGAAATTTTACGAGTATTGTTAAACAATGAGATTCCATATTGCGTGGGTCTGTTCAAAAATAGATCACAGATGACGTCAAAATGTGGTTAAAACAAAGAAGTGGCGCAGAGCCGCAGGCGAGTGTGTCACTGACGTTTTTAGGCATTCTTAAGTTGTGAAGAGCCCTTTCTCTCCGTTTCTCCATTTTTATTCTTTGTAAATAGCTCTTGCTAACTTTTTTTCGAGGCTTTCACTTGCTTTAATCCGAAATGATGTCACAAACATTTTCAAAACCGCGCTCTATGTTGAACAAAACTAAAAGAAAACAAGTTCCCGTGACGTCATCCATGTACTGTAGTCCAATAGATCATAGGCAACGACCAATCACAGGGCGCGTAGCATTCACTTCACTGTATAATGTGCGTTGCTATCGTTACCTTAGTCCTCGTATCATCTACATATTACCATGGCATGACTGGGAATTTAAGGTATCGCCAAAAATTTAAATCATTTGTTAACACAAGGAGAGCTACGGCCCCAGCTTTGTCCTTACTAGGTTACTTAAAATAAGTCTTACTAGGTTATTGTCATCGGTTGGATGAACCATCACTATTAATTACTTTCTAAGAATGTAGTTTCTACTAGTATGTATGCATGACATTTTTTTCAGTTCTGTCAAAATGACGGCGAGTTACACCATCAGTATCGCATTCCTTTTTATGCTGTTTCAAATATTCACTGAAACACTCTCTCAACAATGCATCAATGGTGGGTCAGAGGAATCCATCTTGGGTTGGAAGCTGCAAAACCACGTCTACACGACGCTAAAGGCAAACTTTGGATATGAGTGCGTACTTATTTGTCGTCAGGACAGCAGGTGCCAAAGTTTCAATTGGGTGATCTCTCTTAACATGTGTAAGTTCAGCGACAAAACCAAAGAAGCCAGACCTGAGGATTTTGTTCCCGATCCAGACAGATATTACTACAGGCGAGACAGGAATCGAGGTGAAGTTTATGTCAGTTAAGATCTCTCAGTATTGAAAGAAGTTTTTAAGGGGGCCCAGTGCAATTTTCGTGGCGACACACCTGGAGGCATCTAAATTTCAGTCATCATTCCCAGGAAATATTTACGTTAATTTGTTACAAAAATTGACAACTTAACTGATCAATAATACACGACAAAAAAGGCTGTGCGTTTTAAGAAAGAGGTACTATGTATGCGCGAAACTTTCATGTCCAGCCAGAAAATAACTTGAAAATGACAACATTTTTACGCGATTCAGACCTCGTAATAAAAATTAATTATCGGCATCCTTATTATTGGGTGTTTTTTTCAGTGTTGCGGAAACCATTGTTGGTTCGCTTCTGTGGGTAGTGTCTAATCATTCTTATGTATAGTATTACGTCATTTTTAGTACTTGCACCAATCCGCAACACCAAGAAACCACCTTATTGGGCAGGTTATTCTAAAAGAAAAATTCGTGTGTTTACTTTTAGTCATGCCGGGAAAAGCATTATTAAAACTTCTCCTCATTGTTCGGTAGTTTTCTATTTCATTAAAAATCGGTGCCGCTGCTGCTGTCCTTCGATAAGATACTCCGGCCAGTCGTCTACTTCGTCTCTCATATTATAATCATCCATGGTTTTTATAGCGGAGCACTATGCGTAAGAAAAAAAGGTAACCCATAGATGCGAGAAACTTGGTAAACAACTGAAAACACATCTGTCCATCCCCGACATGTAAGCCGGTGTGAAGTTTTGCATTCCAGCATCCGCGCGTTTGGGCGGTAAATCACATGGCCACCCGGACTGTTAGAGAGAAAACAACAACAAACTTAAGCCTAGTCTTTTTTCTTTTTTTTTTTTTGACTAAATCTTAATTAATGTTTACACTGACGTGGATAACAGAGAAAGAGCTAGAGCTAGAGATAAAAAACAAAGACGACGAATTTCGTTGAAAGAACAACATGAAAATTATGTAGTGGCGTTGATAAAACGAGAAACGCTAGCGACCAGCAAGGTGAAAATAAGCGGCAGTAAAGAAAAAAAGAAAATTACGAAGAAAATTATTTGTGAACACATACGACATTTCCTCCATGAAACGTGTAACTAGGAAGTTTCAACGACGGCAAAGAAATGTAGAAGAAAGTATGTTGCACGTGCAAAGTCTTTCAGTGCCGTCGCCATTGCACTGTATGATTTTTGATAAATACAGTCTACTTTCTTTTCTTTAAACACTATAACATTTGACATTTTAGTTTATGTACGTAAGAATGGCTCAAGGTTTGCTTATTTTTCCCGTAAATCACCTTGTCCTTCCACTGTATCAAATGTTTGGCACATGTACAGAATTGAAAAATTTCTTCACAGTGGTTTCAAGTTTTTATTTAATTTTTTTTTTCGTTTGAGTAAATTATAACTTTCTTTACGAGAGCTTCTTTTTTTGCCTTGCCTAAATCTATATATTAGAGTTATATTACCTATCCAAGCCCTAAGAACAAGTGCAGTTTCCTCGAACGGACCAGTTTCTTCATTCAATGCTGGTCGTCTACAGTAGATAGCCGACAATTTTCGTGCATCGCCGGAACACTTGCTCAAAAATATTTGCTCGGGCGAGTAGATGTGGCCTAACTTAAACAGTGCTCCAGTACAACTTGTCGCTAATTATTGATTATTTTCGAGATCGTTTGTGCTTTTATATTAAATAAATTCGAGGAAGGGCATGCACTATAGAATTCTTTGAAAAAACTTCACCAAACGTGTATATTATTGACGTCTCAAAGTTTCTATCAATGATTATCGATTCGATGCTGACAATTTAATTTCAGAATAACCATTACATAATTAATGGGACATTTTCTCTTTAGTTCCTCTTGGATCCACTCCTGAGCTTCCAGCTGAAACATGCAAAGAAATCAAAGCAAGTGAAGGGGAGGTAGAGAGCAAGAAGTACTGGCTGAGTACCATTAAACCTGGTTCTACTGTGCTCGCTCATTGCGATATGAAGACTGAAGGTGAACAAATTAAAAAAATATATCTTCATAAATTAATGGCGAGCGTCTCCTTTCGCGCGCTATTCTCGCGTGACTTCTATTTTACTGAGTAAAATATTTATTTCTGAATTTACCTAATTATATCTTGCCTGTCATTTTTCTATTTAGGGGTTGTATTCTTTTATTATATTTTTTTTTATTTACCATTTATATTTACGCTTTGATCTATTCTTGGTTTGCACGTGACGTCAATAAAAATCAAACAAAAAACTATCGATTCTTCCGAGTTTCTACTTTCACGAGGTATTACAGCACCTAAACACCTTTATATAAACAAATTTTTGGTTCCAAAGGGTTCTTCGTTCTGCGAGAGAGGACGCTTGAAGTTCCAGGCTTTTGCTTGTCGCGGCATTTAGCTGACGGCCAGGAGAGCTCTTAATATGTGGGTTAAAAACATTACCGATTTTGGGAGATTTTGCTACCTAAACATTCCCTGTTTCAGAATAAATATTACTTTAATCTTTATGAGTTCCTCAAGGGCAGAATTCACGCATTAGTAGAAAAACTCGAAAACAGATGTTTCCGTTGGTATTCGGCCGCCATATTGGTGTCCATACAAAGCTTTATAAATTTACTACTAGGTGAATCGTTTTTCCGAATATCTCGCATTTGAAATATTGCAGAGACCTGATTTTAGCCCAGATGTTTTGTATATTTATCTTCTCTCATTTCCCATATCCTAGACGTTCTGTATTGAATGGTTTGCATTTTTATTTTTCATTGCGTGACAGTGCAAACCGAGAATCCTGACAGGATCTTATAGCTAACGGATTCAAAGCAGCTTTTAGCATGGTTAGAAATAAGTATAAAAAACTGGACAAAGTTAATGTTCGGCCGAATATCTGTAGAAAACAAAGCGAACATTTTTCAGAGGAAAAAGCTCCCGTGAACGATTCCCAGTGCCAGGAAATACTCTGGCTGAAAGTAAAGTAAGTAATGGCGTCATTTCGTCATTTCGTCATTGTAAGCCTGATCATAACAAATTTTCAATGTTATCTAATATGTGGTAATAATTTTTCGAATTCTTTGTTAATGGCGACGTAGTTTGTGCTCAAACTTCTGAGGTATTGACCCTGTTAAAACCCTATAGAGCCACCTTCGTTCGAGGAAAACGAGCACGGTGATACTTTTCTTGTGCAAATAAAGGTATGTCATTTTGGACCCTCTGTAAAAGCGTTTTCTGTACTATAACCCTGACGGTACTTCGGAGGCTAAAGTGGATAACGGTGTCTGTGTGTTTGATCAAACACATCCTGCCCAGTCAGCTTCAACACAGATTAAATTGCAGTCTGAAATGGATACCAAGGCGCAGCTTGTAGCAAACCTGAATAATAGACCCTGATCCACGCTGTTCTGGTTAATGAAGACAGAGAAAAATGCAATACATGCATGACCATGTAGGGAAAAAGCTTACAGATCAGAGTTATAGTTTAAAGAAAAAACAATTCATTTGAAAATTGAATACAATAAAATCTGTCACGGCTTTCAGTGACAAAATTATCCGCATACCTGTAAGCTACTATGCGATAGCTAACCACTGAGACCTTCGTGTTTCTCCCTCTTTCTTCTCTTTTATGATCTTTTATAACCTAAGTCTGTGTCTTTGTCCTGTCAATTACGCTTGATAAAGTGTTTTATGAACATTTCCTTAAAAAATTATTCGTGCGTGTGTTGCTAGTAAAGGGTCGTAAAGGCAGGTTTTAAACAATTCAAAATACGATAATTGTGTTATTTTTACTCAGATGTCGACGAATGCACTGCTTCCTCTCCCGTCTGTGATGTCAATGCTCAATGTTCGAACACTCGTGGGTCTTATAGCTGTAGATGCAAAGTTGGTTATTCTGGAAGCGGAAAAACTTGCAAAGGTCTGTGTGGTGGTGGTAGCAAACAGCTTTTGCAACACTAGAATTACTTGTCCCCAAAATTCGAACTGGTAGCTCGTTCTACCTACCACCTAGCTCGTTCTACCAAAACAATTTCAACGCTGAATTTTGAACGACTTTTAGATACGGACTTCTGCTCCAACGATTTCTCTGAAATTTCTCTGGCATATTTCAGTACTATATTAATAAAAGCCGATACCAGAAATTTCAATAAAAAATTATGAGACAAACTTTTTACTGGACGTCATTTTCTTTAAACAGTAGGATCTACTTATGCGCTTATTTCGCTAAAAAAATATTTACCAGCAATGAAATCGAAGTATTTCAAATTATTGCTGAAGGATATAGGTGATTTTTTGCAAAGTTTCCGAGCCATCGCATTAAAAACGGTAAAGTTATGATGAAAAGGTCGTCATAGCTCAATGAGCGTCTATTAATTGGGTCCAAATGTTATTACAGATGGTATCTTTATTACACTTGCAAGGTCCAGTTATTACACTTGCGCCTTCTACAAGAATTTCGAACAACATGAATAGTATGATTTCGTGCTAACTTTTTAAGGCCAAATGCGGAAAGGGTTAAGTCTGTCAAAGTTGATGTTAACGGCACTTCAGCCGTCAGCGAATTTCGCTTGCAAAAAACATGCTTATAAACATGCTTAACAGAGAGAACATAAAAATGTTTTGCCAATTGAAAGAAAATAAAATATTTTTATGTTTCTCATCTCTCTTTTGTTTATTTTCAGATATAAATGAGTGCACAGCTAACTCTGATAACTGTGACGTCAATGCTGTTTGTCAAAATACCGTGGGCTCTCACACGTGTTCATGTAAAGCTGGATATACAGGAAATGGAAAACAATGTCGTGGTAAGGACGATTTCAAAGAAATACAGCAAAAAAGACTGAAGGCCATTTTCAACTCACACTATCTTTTTCAGTACTATGGGCTCAAAATGACCAAGTTCCCATACTGCCGAAGTGCTTGTATTGATAGCGAAGACAGTTATGCCTGCGAGCAAGTTCTCTATTCAAAATTGGGAGCGAAGCGAGCCCCGCAACGAGCGGTTAAGGGGCAGGGGAAATGAGAGGTCGCAACTGTCTCTACAGGTTTTTCATTTTTGGTTCAACTGGGCGAAGCGAAATACCATTTGGCTGAAAAAATAACCTTCCTGCCATAAACATTTTCTGCAAATTTACATACAAAGCTTAAAGTGCTTGGCTCCGAGAAAGAAAACAGGGCGAGGAAGAAAATCGCTCTTGACTATCTTTCCATTCCTTTCCTCCTCCCTCGATGAACCCAACTGAAGAGGTCTTTCGTTAAGGCTGGTGAAGAGTGTTATATAAATAATAATAATATAGCACATAATAAATAATGACATTCTGTTGAATTTTTCACTCCGATGTTGGCGAATGCACTGCTTCTAATTCTGCCCTTCGTGACGTCAATGCTCAATTTCCGAATACTCGTGGGTCGCGATCAAAGTGCGTTAAGAAGGACCTGAGGAGGAGGCAGAATTAGTAGTCAGAGCATTGTACTGATTATCAGTAAAATTCAAAAATGATTGCAATGAACAAAAGCAGATTCCAACAGTATTACATATCACCCTCAAAAAACTACTTTTTTTTTAATTTGCACTTTTAGACGTGGACGAGTGTTCCAAAAACGTTCACTCCTGTGATGTCAACGCTGTGTGTACGAATACCCCAGGATCGTATTCTTGCGCATGCAACGCTAGATATTCAGGAAATGGTACAACATGTGTACTTGGTAAGAAAATACTATGCCTGTGACTTACCAAAGTTTCGACAAATTCAAATAGAAGTTTATACTATGAAATTTTAAACATTTAGTACTTTGTCTTATCTCTAATTAAACCATCATCTTCATAAAGAGAACATGGAACTGTTTTTTATGTAGAAAACACGCCGCAAGGCACGCGCATACGTAAGGCATGGATGGCAAATGATTTGGTCCATGGATATGATAGCGTATAGCAGCCAGTCTTCATATAAGAACCCTTAGGTGTTCTGATACTTTTCTTCGAGATCAATTTGGTTATGGGTTGCTCAATAAACTCGAATTTAATGCCTCGCTGCCCCTGATTCACTAAATCATAGACTCATGCCAAAGCTTCAGTATCCTTAATAAAGAAACTCAAACAGGCAAACAAAATTAATAAAGTTATGTTATGTGAACAAATTTTATGCTTACTTTCCCTTTAAAAAAAATACCCGCCGAAGAACCTCTCCGAAAGCAGATTAATTACACCAGTAGCTCGAATTCTTTAAATCCAACATGAAGTTTCGTGCTATTCTACATTGTGCTGGTTCTAGACAGTCCGTTGGAAGGTGACTAATCTATTCAGTGATTTTTTGAGTCTTTCGCTCTACAAAATAAGTTCGAGTGTCAAAATACCGCATTTATTTTACTAGATGTAAGCTTGGCAACGTAGCGCCATTAAATAAGAGTCCAAAATTGAGTTTTAAATATAACTATTTAAAATAATAATATAGAAATAACTTTTAAAAAAAGCGTTAAATTATTTTCTGCATCAGTCACAAAAAAACAAAACCCTATTCCTTCTACTAATTGAAAACAACGTACAGTGAAATAAGTTAGCGACCGAATGCAGTTGATCATCAGTACGTCAAGTTTTTTTAAGAGACAGGGGCCATAAGTAAGAACGTTCATCTGATTAATTACTAGTTTTTATTTAATTTTTTTGTTTTGAAAAAAATATTCAGTAAATCGTCGTTTTTCTGTTCAGTATCATTCAGAGCTGTATTTACAAACCTCGGTGCGAGTGGAAGACTGGGTCCAACTTCTCTTGGTAGTAACTACAGTGGACAGGATCATGACGGTCAAGTTACATTGGTCAGCGGTATTCAACAGTGGACTGTACCACACACAGGTGACTACCGAATAGAGGCGATAGGAGCTGCAGGGGGGTACGACGTACGCAGTAATAGAGGACAGTACCAGGGAAGAGGTGCTAGAATGAAAGGAAGTTTTCGCTTACTGAAAGGCGAAAAAATTCAGATACTTGTTGGTCAAGAGGGTGGAATCAACAGACATAGCCAGAGCTCAGGAGGCGGTGGAGGTACTTTTGTAGTGAGAGGAAGCAACACATCTTTGATAATAGCTGGGGGAGGTGGTGGCATAGAAAATGCTTACTCCAGACATTCAGGATGCGATGCCTCCACAGGGACCGCAGGGAATCCTGGGTACAGGTCGTGGTCAGGAGGAAGTGGTGGACAAGGAGCAACGACCGCTGACAGCAGTAACTCAGGTGAGCTGAGTGTGTGTCAAGATGAGTAGGGCCACCACGACAGCAATCTTCGCTAAATCTAAAATCTAACTACGTCCGCCCTCTTCAACAATTAAAACGTTCATCAAAGTAAAGGAACTTCATACATCAGGCCTTAATAGCTGCTTAAGACTTTCTTGCCTTGTTTCCTCAAGATTGCTCAAAAGAAGTGTAGTTTAAATTTGCTTAACTTTCAATAATACATGAAATGAATTTATATTTGTTATATTGTTCCTCACAATAAGAGTTAGGTTTTAATGACCTTGACCAAATCCCCTGATTGAAATTGGTGGTATGCATTTGAATTTAACAAGTAAATAGGCATATTAGTGACACAGATCGAGGCCTAAGTGATGTGATTACTTTTATCAACAGAATCTTAATTTTATTTGTTAAATGAAAATGGCCTCAAGAAATCCACCTGCACATGTTATCTTTTGTTCCTCAGTGAAGAGTTACTGATAATAATGTTATTTATATTTTAGGTGGAGGCGGTGGTGGCTTTTATTCCAGTGGAAGAAGCTCAAAGCACTTCGGAGGCTCAATGGGGTATGGCGGAGAAGGAGGCAAAGGATTTCTTCAGGGAGGAGTGGGTGGAAGAGCCAGGTATTACAATGCCGTAGGCGGCTTTGGAGGGGGAGGTGGCGCTTATGGAAGCGGAGGGGGTGCTGGAGGTGGAGGAGGCTACTCTGGGGGAAGTAGTGGGGATAATGAGAATGACTCCTGTGGAGGAGGGGGAGGATCCTATAACACTGGAAAGAATCAGCAGAATGAATGTTGTTATAATACAGCTGGACATGGTCAAGTGACTATAACATTAATATAGATTACGGACTGTAACTTAGCAAGTAGTGTGGTTTAACTAGTTCCTAAAATTTTAGAGCTGGGTATATTGGTGTACATGAGAGATAGTTGTTAATGTATTAAGCACTTTACACTTAAATGAAGTAAAGGAGCGTAACGCTAATGAGAGGGGCGACAAATGAATGACAGATATTGCAAGTTTCAACTAAACGTTTTTTGTCACTGGACTGACCATCGGTAGAAGTCTCGGTTTTCACTCACGTGAGAAAGCAGAAATAAAAATGGAAACCTTAGAAAGTCTAGAATCTTGGAAATGAAAGAAGATAAAAATACAAAAAGTCTTGCCAAGAATCAGGTCCATGGTCTATGCAATAGTTCATATGCAAGATATTCGGAAAAACGTTTTACCCAAATTTATAAAGCTTTGTATGGAGACGCCATGTTTGTGTCCCTTTCAGGGGCACAAATATGGCCGCCGGAAACCAACAGAAACATCTGTTTTTGAGTTTTCCTACTTATGCGTGAATTCTTCGCTTGAGGAACTCATAAGGATTAAAGTAATATTTATTCTAAGACAGGGAATGTTAAGATAACAAAATTTCCAAAAGTCCGTAATGTTTTTAACCCACATAAGAGCTTTCCCGGCCGCCAGCAAAATTCCGCGTCACGCAAAAGCCTGGAAATTCAAGCGTCCTGTATCGCAAAACAAAGAACCCTTTTGAACCGAAAATTTGTTTGTATAGATGTTTTAAGGTGCTCTAATATCACATGAAAGTAGAAACTCAGAAGAAGCGATAGTTTCTTAGCTTGAATTTTGGTGACGTCATGTGAAACCGAGAATACTCCTTTCTTTTGGACCAATTCCCGATATCAAATCTCGGCTTCTGCCTTGTTGCTAATCTAAAAGTCACGCCTTTATTAAGAACCAATATCAAAACTAATATGATACAAACTAGAGTGCGCTAAGATTTCTACTCATTTTTTCTTTTTTTTTGGTTCTTTTGTAGCATTTTGGGAGACATTTTCTTTCAGAGCGGAGGTTCCCTTTAATTTAATAGTGGGCATCAAGCAATGTCATGTTTAATTCAAAGTTTATTGTAGTCAGTTGTTGTTGTTGTTGAACCATATTATACAAGGTGAAAAGTGAGCGTTCTTCCGAGCACCGAGATGGTATAAAACTGTAATTTCCTCAAATGCACTGCCAATCAATCCTTACTGTAATTTCACTCCCCGCCATAAGAGAACCATTTGTATGATGGCAAGTGACTGAATCTTTTATATTCCACTAGACCGACAACAAAATCTTTCAAGACTCTAAGACCTCACTGAGTTTTTCTAAGCCGCCAGCCGAGGCAGAAGGCTATATTAGGATGCTATTTTGCTTTGCCCTTTGCGGTTTCAATACCTGCCGTTTATATATTTATTATATAGACACGACTGTTTTACAGGAAAATATACCACTCGTAAAATTCATAAAAACTACATCCGGGACCCGAGTGGTTTATTTTCCATAATCTCACACGAGAGTTTATCGATGACGTAATTTCAGTCATTTCCCTCTATTATTTTATCGGTGTCTTTTTGTCTATATAATAAAAAGAACATTACACAGCGGCTTGAAGATATGAATTTTATTTTCTCTTGGCAAAAACAATATTTTACTCACTCGCTGAGCTCGTTCGTAAAATATTGTTTTGCCACACGCAAATAAAATTCATATCTTCGCGCCACCGTGTATAATATCCTCCGTTTAGTATTATTTTCCATATTTACGTACAGCTATTGTACTTTAACTGACGTTATCGCATTTTAAGGCCTCAACCCTCGGCGTCAAGACCGCAAGGTCATATGGGCATCCGTCAGGACTGTGAGTACTTTTTGATGACCTCTTAAGCTTGTTTGTTTTGTCTCCCAACTGCGTCTATCAATTCCCATATTTTTACATTTTTAACGTGATATGTAACCACACTATTTTGAAAGGACAATGGCCGAACTCTCTTGAAAATTCCGTCACACGACGAAAGGGAAAGCAAACGATAGAAGCTATTTTAAGTTATCTAATCGGTCATAACAATATCACGGTTGTTAATGCTATAAAACAGTATAAAACGTCACGAACGTTTTATTTTTGCCTTTTTATGACATAAGAGATGCTTTAATGCTGAGTTAAGTACAACTTTGCGATCCTGTAGCGTTAGCTTTCTGACAACTTCAACCGAAAAATAGTACAATTATCACAAAGAGAGCGTTTTAAGGAAAATTTAGTGAAAGAAAAGAAAGCGTAATGCAAAAGGAGAGTTTAATTGGCTTGGTACACCAACATGGCCGCCGTCAGGTAATGTGAAAACAGTCTATGTGTTAGTAGCTTCGTTCTTAGTCGAATACTTTCTTTCCTTTTTCTACTGACGCCTTGACGGAAGCAAGGTGCTCTCTAAAATAATTATCCTTTCACATAGTAGAAACAAATGCTCCAAATCATGATCATTTTCAAATCGTTTGTTGGGCAAACTAGCTATTTCTTGGGGACAGTGAGAGAATCCAGCAAAACAGGGAGAGAATCGCTCGAGTCCATGAAAGCCCACCTTATACCATCCCCTCGCTGACGCTTTGGATACATAGTGGCCGTGGTGGTAAACGTTTGCCGTATGGTAATCTAATTTGTGGCGAAAATTAATTGACGCTTGATCCTCATCTGTCGTCTTCCCTCAGTTTGGTTAGTACCAGTTGCTTTTTTTTGTTTGCTTTTTACTGTAAAGGAAATATTTGCTCGCAAATAGGATTTTTATGCGTCTTCTTCCTATTGAGTAGTTTTAAGAAAATAACTAAGATAGTACACGCGCTCTGATTGGCCGAGAGGTGTGTTTGCATGAGAGTATGTAAACATGGTTGTGACCTCAAGATGTTATGCTTTTCGCGCGCTCATCACGCAAGCACGAATTTGAAAAAGTTTTTGAGTAGAAAACTTGACAAGTTTACCTTATTTACCCATTCCCTAGTCGGTTGAAACTGGAAAAATCTTTGCAAAACATGCTGTGTCAATTTTTTTTTTCGCTTTGGCTGACATTTTAAGCGAGAAAAATCCGTATTTTAGACAGCTTCTTTTTTGCAAAACAAAAACCAAGAGACTATAAAGGGGACAGAGAGGGCATCCCCCATATACACTCTATTCCATAGGTAATTCGTCTCGAGTTATTTTTAGAATCGGGATAAAGCTACCTCGCGCGAGGCGTGGATGTTTCGTGGAGGTTTCGCATGACCAAACGCTGTGCAAAACATGTCGGGCGAGAGGCAATGAAAGCGTAAAAA